CTTATGTACAGGAGCCAATAATACAGAGAATATACTAAAATGTATTCTCATGTAGTGAAAGAAATTAATTTTGTAAATGTTTCTTGTTTAAACAATGGATCGTTTTTCAACAAGATTAATGTGTGGGAGAAGATTTAAACTTTATGAAAGTGGTTACTCTTTTTTTGGAGATCACCAAAGCGCTCGAGAAGCATTCACCTCCTCATCTATTGTTTGGTTTAGAGGATAAACATTTATCTTCTTTTATCTTTTTAGTTGCTCTGAAAACAAAACAAAAAAAGGTACCAGGTCCAGTTCTAAATGATCTTCTTCCTCTTGTGTTAGTAGCTGAAACTTCATTAACTCTACTTCATTTTTAGTATAGTAACTGTATAATTTCAGATTTATCAGATGTTTATTTAGTAGGGCTGGGCACATTAACGTGTTATCGCATTAATTAATTAATGCTGACAATTATTTTATCTGAGGTTAACACAGCTTTTATTAGGTTATTATTATTTTGACAGTCCGTTGCTCACTGGCTCTGAATACACATACAGTCAAACCATAAGTCACAGGAGGGGTGGGATTTTGATCAGCCTGCAAATCACCCACCCAAACAAGCAGTGGAGGGAGACTTTGGCAGACTATGTTGGATGCAGCGTGTGGGAGAAGTAAGACAGCGCTCCGCAAGTAAATGGCAGGCGCTCTATTGAGAGTAACCATGGCAACGGCATCTGTGCACTACACAGCTGTAGCCTATTTAACTTAAGTTAAAATGATAGGCTAACGTTACATAACTTTACCTGATAAGCCTACATCTAGTTTTGCAGGGATGCCCAGTTGTGTGAATTCCCTCCTGTTGATGTCCTGTTTAGTAAACATTAATAGGTACTGGAAACTCACAGCGAGGATCAGTCTCTCTTCCAATATGTTGTGCTGCGCGTCGTGTACCAAAAGTTCAAGACAAAAGTTGAAGACTAGCTGGCGGACGTGTGCGTGAGGCGAGCACTTCACCTCACTCTAACAGGGACACTTGCTACTGAATAGACTGTTTATGCTGCTCCCTGATAACAGAAAAATGTTTCTGCTATTAACAACAACAAGAAAACTGCACTCTGATGGTAACTTGTTTTAAAAAGCTAGATAAAGAGGTAATGCCCTGGCAGTGGCAAACAGCTTTGGTTTAATATTTGATTATATTAAGTTTAAGATTTACAAGAAATATTTTATTGCTACTGTGTAAAGGGAATACTGCTGGTAAAAAGCACCTTATTTGTTTAAAGTGTTTGCAAACCACATGTTATGGCACTTTAGTGTATATAGCAGTACATTTAAATTAAAAGTGTGCAATTCACTACTTTAGAATTCATTATCCAATTTTGCGCATTGATGGCAGAAAATCATGTGTTTAATCGCAATTAAAATTTTTCATTGTTGCCCAGCACTAGTATTTATATAATTCAAGATTTTCTGTGAAGTTTTAAACCTGTACTAAGACAACAAAGCAGTTTTTATGAGTGGGTCCCTGTTTTGATTATCTTATGTAGCACATGAAGACACACATGCACATGGGTGAAACGATACATTCCTACCTGTGGTTTTGAACAATTCCACTGATCTACAGTTTGTGGCACCAAGCCAAGAAATGAAATAATGTACCATCAAATGCAGTGTAGAAGAAGACAGCATGCTAGTAAACATGGATATCAATAATACAGGATAAAATACTTGGCATTGCAGTTTGCAAAGGTTTTATGAGGACGGAAATGCACAGGGCACCTGTTATTTGAGAAACCTGCTAGTTGCAACCATAAACAAGATCCTTCTATGAGTAGAAATGTAAATACCTGGCAGTCTTAGAGCTGTCCACTACAGTGACAGTGCTGTCGTGGCTGACCCAGGCCAGACGGTTACCAGAGGCTGAGAAAGACACAGAGTGGACCCAACCCCCTCCACCTAACAGACACAAAGTGCATAAAAAAACAGATCTGATTTAGTTCGATTGGTTACTGCAAGTCATTTGAAAGAGGATTTTTACTGTCACATATGAAGACATGGATACAGACCCGCTCCTCCAAATTCTGCTAGCACAGCCCCAAATGGCATCTTGCTGCCCCAGGGCGTGGGACCTGGTTTCTCTTCCACCTCCTTAATGTAGGCTGAGAACACCCTGGAGGCCAGAGAGGGAGGGGGAGAGTAAAAGGAAAAAAATATAAAGAAAAAAGAAATAGACAGGAAGTCATTTACTCTTCATGAAATGTTTTACATTCACCGTTAACGACATTCACCTGCATTTGAAATCACAGGATCCAGCAGCCAGCAGGATGTTGTTGGGATGCCAGTCCAGGCTGAGGATGGTGGAGCGGACTGGTTTCTTGATGTGCTTACTCACCCACCTGAAGAATTTAAAAACAAAGAAAAATTATAATATATATACACATATATATACATATACACACATATATATACACACACACACACACACACACACACACACATATATATACACACACACGCGCTATGTTTAAAATCGCCAACAGCAAAAATTTGTGATTGTAGTTCTGCTAAACAGAACTGTTTGTTTTATTGTCTGTTTTCAATTTAAAACAACACATGACCAAAACAAAAATTAATATGAAGGCAGCCCAGATTTAAAAGACGGAGAAGAAATAGAACAGATCGGTGCAGTGCCACAAAGTAAAATCTTTCAAGCCTTGGAGTAGATCTTCACTGGCATTTGGAAATACAGTACTTTTGTTTTAAAGCAGATGACAACACGCAAGTACAGATTCAATGCCAAATCTGCCTTAGGGTTGTTAGTGTGTAAGTTAGCGGTTGATCTGCCTGGAATTTTCAACAGGACAAAAATAAATGCCAAAACACCACAATACCCTACTTAAAAGGTGACAACACACTATATATTAAAATGCAAAAATAATGGATTAATACTACCAATCACAAAACTGGGCCATGATCTTGTGTCTATTGTTATATTAATTTTCATCAGATACATATGCAAAATTACATGTTTGTACAAACAGCCTCACCAGTCATTCTCAGACTCGAAGTAGCAGACAGAGATGAGTCGAGCGCCACTACCAACTGCAAATTTGTTCTCCAGTGGAGACCACTTGACGAAGGTGGCGGCTCGGTTGATCCTGAGAATGACCAGTGTGGGCTTCCATACCCCCTCCTTCTGGGACCACACATAGGCATTACGGTCGGCTCCACATGTCACTATACGGTCACTTTTGGGAGCCCAATCAATACCTACAACACAACATAGAGAAAAACGACTAATTATTACAAAGAGTCTATGTTATTACTGACTGACTGCTGCAACAATCATGAAGTGCCTTATGATGGCACACTCAAGAGTTGAATAAGCCTATTTATGGACATAATTCAGAATCACACGTGTATTAAATGTGTATCAACACACTTATCTTGTTTGTGGGTTAGTCATAGAAATGCAAGGGGTGTGACTAAAACTAATTTGTTTCTGTCAGCAGTCATATGAAATACCTGTTATGTGTCCATTGTGTTCCTTCAGTTCATGAGTCTTAACCCACTGGTTGCCACTCTTCTTGTAAATATGGACTTCATGGTTATTAGGACTGATAGCAATTTCTGCAGGAAAAAAGATAACCCTAGCACGTTAACAGGATGGACAACAACAACAAACAAGCTAGACCAGTTTCTGGTAATGCAGAACCAAACTACTAATGTAATCATTTGTTAGTCCAGAAAACAAATTGTGGATTTGTTTTTGGCTGAAATTGCACTCGTTAGAATAAAATATATAATACAGTAATAGGTTGTCAAAGATGTGTACAATGAGGACATATTTGAGCCTTACGTGTCCTATCGCGGTTCCATGCGTGGCAGGTGATGGGTTCCAACAGAAACTGATGAAGGGACATCTTGTCTGGGTGTGGTCCTTAAGTGTAACTCTGCGAATTCACAAAGCAAAACTTAGTTTAGCAACTAGCGACAAACAAGTCCTCAGCGAACAGCTGAACTGAACTTTGTCTCTACCGGCTTTAAAACTCCACAGATGACCGTGTGTATTAAAGAGTTTGTATGACCACTTCTCAAATGGGACAACCAGTTAACTTAATTGCAAGGGTACTCGGATTCCATTTGTTAGCTCGGATATATTAGCCAAACCCAATCATTCAAAACATTGAAAGGCTGCTTCAACTAACGTTAGCTAAAATAACATTACCGAGCTAACGTTAGCCAGCTTACTTTAACCAGTCAATTTCGTTACCATGGCATGCAAAGTTCATCACTTTTATGAGCTTAAGTTGACTTGCTTAGCTAGCAACTGTAATATTGCCATGACTAGGTTAGTTGCCTCACTCGTTAAATCGTTCACAGAAGCAAAACAATACTAACGCTACTAGCAAGTGAATCAAATTGCTAGCTAATGCGAACTGTTCACCGGTGTTAGTAAGGACTGACAGATTGATCATTTTAAGAAATATATGTGTTGCTATACACGAGTTTACCAGAAGGCCTCCCTTTTCTACTGCAGACCCCGGGTTTTCCTTGGAGAAGAGGTCTTTACTTCCGATGATAACTACACCATTAGCCGTAAATTCCGCTAGCACTGATGCTATCTTACCTCGTCAGTCCGGTTCTCCTAGTTGTGCACTCTCGATAGCCGGTAAGCTAAGTCACGCTATCGGGGAAACGTTAGATTAGGAATGGACCTGAATTCGCGGACTCTGGTCAGTCGACACGAATTCGTCCGGGAATGTTGAGGGAATGTCAAGACAGCCAGTAGGATACGACCGCGAGCATCCGGTTGCTAATTCGGCAGCAAAACCCGTGGATGCCTGGCTGACAGCTAGCTTAGCATCATCACGCTAGCTGTTACATTCAACTGGAAAGCCTCGTTCACGTCGAAGTCTCACACACATACCACGACGAGCTCCTCTAGTGGTTCAAATAGAAACATCCAATCTGGCCTAACCGGTTTCAAAACAGCACAATCTAGTGCATTACTTGGACAAAAGTCAAAAATCTGAAGGGCAGTGACAATGGCTGACCCACAGTGTCCGTCTGAACTGAAACAAGGGAAGGAAGTCAGTCCTAATCAAGGTTGGTACCTACTTCAGGGCCCCAGATACCCCAGAAAGCCTGTTTGTGAATATAGGAATATGCACTGCTAAAAACAATATCAGAAATAAGGGCCTTAAGATGGGGCCTAGCTGCTACCTGATAATTAATTCCTCTCTTGGGTGGGAGGACCAGGGAGTTAATAGGGGCCCAGAAGCACATTTTTGCCTAAGGGCCTCCAAGAAGGCTCATCTGGCCATGTTCTTAACCTGTACATCCTGTGCTGGTGCCTGTATTATTATGAAAATATACTTATTTTGCTAAAGCGTTTATTATGATCAGATTCCACCTGCTTGATGGGTAGATGGTTTTAAGCTTTAAACATCTACCACAGAACTTGGCTTTCCAAGTTAGGAAACGTTACCGTTGCAGAGATCAAATGAAGCAAATCTAGTGGCATGGATTGTTTTCCAGAAAGGATGTTGTACAAATACATTTAACTTTGCTCCGACACACCTGTCATTCTATAGCCTTTTGTTGGCCTGATTTACATGTGTAAATCTTTTAAAAATTCATGGAAGTCATTGACATTGTGATGCCTAAAATGCCTCATCTTAAAGATCATCCTGCCATTGGCTTATGGGTAATAGGTTCTCAAACCAATCAGAGGAGATTTCAATTAGCATCTCTCCATCGCACCTGGTACACCTACAGATGAACTGCTGCTGGCTGCAAACATCAAACCACAGTCAGATTCTCACTCTCTTTTGCCTGCGGTACATCGCCAAATCGTTAAATGGATTCAGTACCAAAGGTGGATGAGCTGTATCCTACCCCTCCACCATTCTTCTTACCAGGTAAAATACCCTCTCAACCTGCCTTGTTTACAGGGCCTGAAATGATCTCTTTTCAAAGTAAGTGTGTATTTATTTTTATAGATGGAAGTCAGTCAGGGCAAGATGTGAGAATCTACCAAATTCACTCACCTTTCAGCCCTCCACCACCTCCTTCCTTCTCCTTTTCTCCTGGAGTTGGCTGCTCCACCCAAACCCACACATCTCTATCAGGTAGACACTCGCTTAACATCTGCCTCCATTTTGAACATGTAGAGTAGGCCTGAATGTCACATTTTCTTTGTTCACATTTTAGTGATGACTCAAGTGTAGATTTTCAGTAAGTTTATAAGTTTGAAAGTGCTGATTCAGTTGTCTATCTATTAATAGGCATAGCATACTATCAAAAAGGAGTGTTGGGGCTGACTTCTACATACTGATTTAATTGGTAGTTCTTCTCTTTCATGGATCGGGATAACATACAAGAATTTAAAGAAGTATATTATTCAGAAACAAGTTGACACAAATTGAATTGACATTTTGGTTTTTGGATGATGATTCTTTGCTAGTCAAACCTCAAACAGTAATGATTGGATAATGTTAAGGAGTTAGTGTTGGGTGGTTGATTGAAAGAGAGAGAATCACAATACTGTAATGTTATGTTTTGAAAATAAGCAATACTTTCCATCCCCCCATGTCTTATAGTGTCTGCGCTCCCCCTGTCTACTCCCAGGCCAAAGTTTGTGGCCTATGAAAGGGAGCTGTATCGCTCTCCGGCTCTGACAACATGCCCTTCTTGTCAGACGCGGGTCACGACCCAGGTCACCTACAAAGTTGGGTTTCAAGCATGGCTCATGTGTTTTGTGTTTGTGTTGTGCGGGTGAGGAGACTCATTCAAACACCTACATCTGGTTATCTAATTACCCCAGCCTCAATAACACAGACACTTCAAAAGGCAAAGACTGATGTGTAATTTCTGTCTCACAGGTTGGTGCTTGGATGTTGCCTGATTCCATTATTTGTGAACTATTTCAAGGATGCCTATCACACTTGTCCTCGCTGTCAACGAGTTCTGCATATACACAGGAAGACATGTTGTACATGAACACACAAGCTAAACTACCTATAGTTTGTGTTTTTTCACCTTAACAGAAGATTGCAGTAAAATGTGTGCATACCTGTCTTGACGTAGGTCAGCATAACTTTAAAATATACCCGTATACAGTATGTTTTAATGTAATGTTAGTTCCTGTCATGTGAAATTAATTTTTTAATCTATATTTAAATCATGTTTTGTAACTATCATCTCAAATAAATGTTTTCTGTGGCAAATGTTACTTCATGTTTGTCTCCATAAAAGCAGACCACACAACAGATAAACATACTAAGCATGGACACAAGCAATTGTGTATAGTTTGTCCTAAACAAATGTCTGCAGATGAAATTTGCATTTCAGCAGCTATCTTTTCCATCCCCTGATAAAGACCATGATGCCGCCACGAGATACTGTCAAATGCTGTGGGAAAAGCTAGTAATTGGACGTTGACTCGTCAAACAACTAATATTCAAGGTCAATAATGAAGTTTCATGCTTAAGTTAGGCTTGGTTTCCACATATCTTCATTTCCACTACAGGGCTCAGTACCTATACCAATTCCCACCTTACTTTCTCTCATCAATACAGCCTGTGTGGATTAAGCCTGCATGTGCACATGTAGTGTGCGTAGTAAACGTGTCCTCACTGACACCAGAGGATTAAAAGTGAGTTTATTTTAGATCTTTGAGCTTCGGAGCATTTCAGATGCAGCAAAACCCTTTATTTCCCTCTCCTGAGGTTGTACACTCCCTTTTAAAGCGTGCTATGCCACGCCTTCCTGCCACTCAGGCATTTGATTCTGTGAGGATGTCTGCTGTTCCAGGGTAGATGAGCTCTGGTGGATCCCTGCAGCAACACACTGCTGACCCCTGCATGGCTGAGGATGCATCGGTTTCCTCCTTACTACCCTCGTCTTTTTTCATCCAGCGCTTCAAATGCAAAACTGAACTCTTCTTCTACTTGATCCTGTGTGTTGCCAAAATGCCATTCATACCACCTGTGTCGATTGTACGCTCTGTGTCAGGATTGACCGGGAAGGAGAGACCTTTCAACAGCACTTCATCTACAACTGCTGTGGCCAAGACGAAGGTCCAAAGAGAAGACAAAGGCAGCTCAGTGAAGCAGCGGCTGGCTTCGAACCTCAAGCAGCTGGGGAAGAAGAGCCAACCCAGGAGTCATCTGCCAACTGCCAAAGGAGTGTCAGGGACAGAGCTGCTTGCAAAGAGAAGGGACCGATTGTTGCCTTCATCACAATCGGGCAGCTTCGCTGCTTCCAGCTCGGGCGAGTCCCTGTCTAAAACACAGCAGCACAAAAATGCAAGCCAGAGCTCTCTAAAGAGTGAACCAGAGGTGAAGACGAGGGCCAGGCATCAGGAGGAGGCCCGTTTCACACTGACTCTCACACCTGAGGCTGTTCTGCTCCTGCAAAAGAGGAACAGTGAGAGACGACATTCAGCGTCTAGACATGCTGGAAGCGGAGGTGGTGTTTCTGGAAGCACCTCGGACTCCAGACGCAGGAGGGAAAGTATCTCTAAAAGGCATCAACCAGCAACACAGAGACGCGGCGCTCCAAACAACAGAGTCGCTGCTCAAACCAACAGTGATGCTGAACTCTTAGACATAAGCTCAATTGTGAAAATCTCACTTCTAAACGAGCAACATAAGTATGATGATGTGGAGTATGAGGAAGAGGAGGACTATGGTGTGGATGAGCGTGTGGTGCTGAAATGTACAGAGTGGCTCCGTGGGTTGGAAAACACACCAGTAACAGTGAGAAACAGCCTGACTAAGAGTGCAAGCTCTGTGAAAAGTTTCTAGAGGTGAAACGCTTAATTGAGGTGTTATCTTGTCCAATCTGAGATTGAACTGCAGTTCTTGTTTGTGTTGGATAGTTGCAATTTGAAGATGTGCTTGTGTTATGTATCCCCTGGTACTCTGTGTTTGTCTTGTGAATGCATCTAGGATCAGTATGAAAACTGTATGATTTTTCTGAGCCCAGTCCTGCTAAGATATTCATCCATTGTGACAGTGTTAAAGTTTTTATGAAACTGACAGGGAATTTTGGCATGTTCATGAAATGTTCTGTTTCATTTGATCCATCTTCAGTCAGAGGGGAAGTAAAACTTAAGGCATTCATATTTGCTCTGCACATTTGAACACCTTTTTGAACTAACCATATTTTGCCAATAGATCACATCTTAAAACTTAAATTTGAGTGTTACAACTTATTGGTTTATTAGTAGAGGTACACTTCAAAGTCATTATGCGCACAATGCACTGCAGGTGCAAGGAACAATTAAAATGTCTTACAACTGACTTTGTAAGAAACATTCTTTATACTTAATTCTCTTTTTCAAATAGTCAGAATTTTGGAGGAAATGTGTGTAAAATGATGCACAAAACATCTAAAATATTTCCATTTAATGCAGAAGTGCAGCCATAAAAATCAGAGTCTTGGTTTGAATATTTCACTCAGTGTAAATCAAGATTTTTGATGATGGTAGATAAATGATTTGAATATATGTAATATTGTCAGAGTAGAATAAGATGATTTCCAACCTTAAAGCTAGGGAAACCAAAAGGTTAATTTTTGTAAGCTTTTCATGTGTGAATCTTATTCTATGAACTGTAATCAAGTTGTACTACATGCATCTAATGAGTTTACATCTATGTTTAGTTAATTCTATCAGTATAATATCTATGTAAAACTTGCATAAAGTTTAAAACAGAGATTCCACATAGTAGATTCTGTACTGTAGCTAAAGTTGTCTCACTCACTGTAAGTAGCTTTGTAAGGACTTAAGATGTTGGCTTGGCTGTTGCTGTGCATTCCCTCGTGCACAGACCAGGTGTGCTTAGCGGCAGCTTATCCACCTGGGATTCAAATGTTACAACACGTGTGTTTGTTTATGTTTAAGAGCGTGAGTCAGTGAGTGAGAGAGATTACTTGAGTAATGTTATATAATACTTTGATTTTGAAAACTTAAATAATCACATCAGGTGCAAACATCTAAAACAATAACTTCCCAGTAATATGTTAATTTCCCTCAAATGATGTTCTGTGTTTCATTTGAGGTCTGTTAAATAAATAAGATACAGACAAGCATCATTTCCAGCGGTTGATTCGTCGCAGCTGTACGTAGGCCAGGAACATGCAGACCAATATGATTCCCAGCAGAGCCACCTGGTTCTGCCAGAAGCCCCACACAGAGTAGTCGATGTCCTGGCTTATCAGGAACAGCTCCCCTGGGATCCTACAGTACAGACAAGAGAGGCTCAGTGTGTGTGTATGTGGGAGTTATTGTGATCTAAAGAGTGGTTATGCTGTCGCTCTGCACTTACATAGTGGTGTTACTGTAGAAAATCTGTCCTGTCATCTCGTTGATGAATGCAGCCTGCCAGACAAAGAGATTTGGCTAAACAACTTCCTCACCACAGATAAATTAAGCCTTACTGATCTCATTCTCACAACCACACCCATCTGCTCTTGCTCTGCCTACTTTCCGTATCTTACATTCAATCCATATCTGAAGATACTGATCCATTTCAGCCAGGAGAGCCAGCTCAGCATGGTATTGAGATTAACAAGAAATCCACCAAAGACCTAAAATGGGAGGATGAAGGGTGAAGAGAGGGAATAATACAACATGTCTTCAAGAGCACACATTATGATCTCAGTCATGTATGTGTTGAGTGTGAGTCTTACCATCATGAAGACGAAGGGTAGAGCAATGAGGATATTAGCCATGCCAAATGAAGATGCACTTGCTGAGGCGAGGAAGGCCAGACTGACTCCTGCCAGACTGACCAGACACATGGTCAGGGCAAAACACATGAAGGCCTCAAAAGCAGGCTTCAACCCTGAATGAGCCGTGGACATAGACATAAAAAACTAGAATCAGGCAGCTCCCAGTTATCTAGATTTGCATCAGTGCAGTCTCCTCATCTACATGATACAATATGCCGTATTTTCTTGGTCTGTATGTGCTTGTATGTGTATGAGAATTACCCATCATATAGTAGGCTATGATTGAAAACGCAAAGATAGGGAAGATGCGGTTGGGGATGAGATCAGCGAAGACCTTGGACAGGAAATAGACAGAAGTACGGTAATAGCCACTGGAGTTCTCGTGACTGCAACAAACATTAACAAAGATTCTCAAGAGACACAGATGAAAAACAGATACAATTCTTGTCACTCTACCACTGTTTACTGATATTCAATATTTTCCATTGGTCAACAAATCCCATGAAAAAACTAAACCTACAATTAATTGATTGTTCTATTATTGGTGTAGCTGAGGCCTGATATATTTAATTTCTCTGTGCCTCTAAGTTTTCCAAAAAGTGTTAAAAGCACATAAATGAGAAACACTGTTGCACTGGGCGACATGTTGCCTCATTAGGATGAACATGGACACTGTAGTTTATTTCAAATCAATACCACATACACGTACTTGCTATAGTAAATACTCACTAGAGCACCAAATGTGTATTAAACCGCAGCTGAAAATAGTCTCCAACAAATGCAGTGCTTACTCTTGTTTGAGTAACATTTACTAAAAATGAAATGCCACAATTAAGATTTATATCTGTAGGAATGAATGGGATTGAGGACCACAGATGGAAAAGGGAAGCTGGAAAGTTCTGAAAGTATTATTGAGACAGACTGATGCATTGTTGGTTTTGGTCCTTTCACAGGATTCATTGACAATAAGGAAAAATACAAAATAGCAAAACCCTTATCCTTTAAATAGCATCAAAAAGAGAAATGTGAGCCACATAAATCTATCTTGGCACTGATCTTGGCACACACAATTTTTATCTGTCACTCACATGAATATTGCCCTTTCATTGATAAAGAGTTCCACTGCAGAGAGATTCCCAAACACCATGTTGAGGATAAGGAAGAAGAACGCTCCATTCCTGTTCAGAGAGAGAGATATGTAATCTGATTATCAATTAACCTCATGGATAGTTAAGCAGAAAAAGTCAGAAAATCTCCCCCTGACCTGTGCTTTACCCCAATAAACCTGTGAGACCTCTCATGGCCTCTTATCTCACTTATTTACTGTATAGCAAATTGAATTCAGCCATCATACCCTAGCGCTTGCATAAGTAAAGTACGCTTGCAAAGTAGCGCTTGTATACCTTTTTTTAGAATCTTTTTATTTGGGCTTTTTTGTCATTCTTCTTGCAGAACTTTTCTGAAATGGAGATATTCACATTTGCTGTCTCACCACATTTTCCTGCCTACCACAGGCAATAACCTTCAAAACAAGAAAGAAAAACCTGTGATATTATCTTCTGTTTTCATTAAGTAGTTCTGTCGTAATTTTGCCTTGAGCTTGGAAAGGTGCCACATTTACAGTGGAAAAACTGTGCTGAGGTAAAAACGGAGCAGATACACTGCTTGGCTGTTATGCTGCAGGTTATGCGTACTGTACCTGTTCTGTAAAGCCTCGGGCAGCGTTAAGGGCATTTGGTAATAAATGAGTCCCACCAGAATTGCAAAAAAGATGTTGAGAGCCAACTGGGCATAAGAGGTCTGAGGGTTCCTCAGAGTGTTTAGCACCGTCCTGCCACAGACCACATGCATCTATCTCACACACACACACACACACACACACACACACACAAAAGATGGAAATATTTTTTTTATGGTCATGATAACAGTTATAAACAGGGTTCATTCTGCGGGCAGCCAAGCACACTGACATAACAGCTGGCTGCCACAGTCATTAAACTCTGCGATGTAACATCATAAACTCGCTTCAATTTTAATTTATCACAAAATGAATAACAAGTGCGACTTTTATTCCCTAAAAATGGATAACTGTTTTATTAAGTTTGTGAGAAATATTTTGTCTAAAGTTTTAATTTGTTTCTGTATTGCAGAGTTGGCTGACCTGATAGAGGAAAGAGGTGGCAAAGTCGGCTCCCTTGTCTTGACTTTTGGCCCTTTCAGCAACGCTCTGGTTCACATGATCCAACTCCTCAAGCACATTCCGGCAAAGTTGAGACTGACTGTATTTCATTGCCAGTGTGTCTTTACACTCTACTGTGGAAAGAGAGAGAGGTGATTTACACATCGCCATGTTATAGATAAGGGCAGCTTAATAAATTTCTCTTTGAGTCAGTCATTTACTCTTCTCAGGGATTGGTGATTTGCAAGTGAAAAACAGTATCTGGGCTTCTAGGTTTGGGTAATTCTTGTTAATGGAATTAACAAAAATTGGCTGTAACTATTTCTTGGAGAACATAGTCGCAGTGACTTCCTGTCAATATTGCCATTACCATGAGCTTGCGGCCAGCCGAGGTTCTTCAAGTAATAATATACAACAATAGTAATAGTAACATAACAACCCTCCTTCCAGGTGTTGCTAAGCTAAGCCAATCGCCTACTCCAGCTTGATACTTATTTTACAGACATGAGATCGATCTTGTCATCTAATTCTCAGAGGAAATAGGTGGGGGGTTTTTCATCATCTAGTATTTCATCATCTATATTTGACCTGGACACCTAGTGTATTCTTACCCATGTATGCTTAGAGCCTCTGTTGGTGTTACATACCTAAACCGTGTGTGTGTCTTTTGTGTAAGTGTACCTGCAGTAAGTGATTCTAATGTTGATACTGCCTCTCCATTTGTGATGTCCATAAAGAAATCAGCAGGGTTGTCGAAGGACTCAATTTGGTAGCCTGTACACAAACACACACATGCAAATACATCTTAACCACAACAGATAAAAAAGAACACTGACATGGTAGACAACCAGTTTATTTACATTTCAAATTAAAGTAGTTGATTATTATGTATGAATATTAAAATATCAAACAGCAGCTAAGTTGAGGTTGAGCTGACTGACAAGCACAAGCACTGCATATGGCAATACAATAGATTTCCCTTTTCTATATAAGGATTCATAATAATATATTATAATACATTCTTAGTTCTAAATCTTACATAGTGAAATCATACCAAGGTCTGTGAAGTACTCCAGTGCATGGTCTGCTGCTCCTGCATACACTACCTCCCCTTTATGCATCAGAGTCAGATGGTCAAACTGTCTGAAAATGGAGTAGCGTGGCTGGTGGATGGAGAAGATCACAGTCTTACCTTTTCTGGACAGCCTGGACACACATAAGGACATTTTTTATCATCCATATTGTTACAGAAAACACAAAGACAACAGTAGATTGCATCAATAATCTATCTCTATCTAATCTCTATCCTAAGCAAATGTTAATTAAAGCAGTACATTGCCGGTTTGAACCCGCCATGCTTAGCAGCATTGTATGCTTCAGTTGTCATTTGGATCTTATGTGTTGCCTAATGTGAGATTAAATTGTAATTGGTGTTGTACCTGTGCAGTACACTGATGATACAGTTTGCACTGTTGGAATCTAGCCCGGTGGTCGGTTCATCCAGAAACAGCAAAGAGGGAGAGGTGACGAGCTCCATCCCGATGCTACACCTCTTCCTTTCACCTCCAGATACGCCACGCAGAAACTCTGTCCCTATCTGCACCCACAAGGTTGTATAACGAAATTAAAGTTTGTAGTCCCTTCATGCTACACAACCTAACAAATAATTAAATGTGTATTAAAATATGGTAACTTTTAAAAAGTAAAAAGTAGTCAATAGATCAAACAATAGGCAAAAGGAATAATTTGTGTTTCGCTCCATTGGTACACATTATTGTATAGTCTGAATACGGTTTACTCATGTGGGTAGGGTCTCCAGCACTGCTGAGTGATATGCAGCTATTAGCTCCTGTATGTAGCACAGTACCTTAGTGTCTGCACAGTCTGTTAGGCCCAGTTCTTGTATGATGGCATCTACTCTGCTCTTTTTATCAGTGGAGGAGTGATGCTGAGGTTTGAGACGGAGGTTGGCACTGAACTGAAGGTTCTCCTTCACAGTCAGTGTGCCCATCAGGATGTCATCCTAGAAGCACATAGGAGATGTAGGCACGAACTACTCCAATGAATTTAAAATATTATCATGTCAAAAAATGTGTGTGTATGTGTATTGTATTTGTGTACCTGAACCACATAAGCAGAGCTGAGCCTGAGGTCAGATGTGACGACTTTCCCATCCACCAAGACCTTTCCTTGGTGCAGTCCAGCAGGGTCTTTTCTGCCTGCGATTACATCCAGGAGTCTGACAAAAAGAGAAAGAAACTAATATTCATGTGGTTGGGGTTGTGCGTGAGACAGTGCTTGTGTGTTTGCATGTACATGAACATTTTTCTTACGATGTTTTTCCACTTCCAGTGGCGCCCATGATAGCATTCATCCCAGGTCTCATGATGCCACTGCAAAAACAAATCAGAAAATCAAGTCAAGTCAATTTTCTTTATTTAATTAATTTATAATAAAACAATCAAGAATAAATTCTGTGCATAGTAGTAGATAGTTTTAAAAGCCAAAGATAAACCTTTACAATGTAAATTGCAACGTTCCCATGTTTATGCTTTAAATATTTACATTCACAAGTCAGGAAAAAGTTACAATTAAAAATGCTCAACTGCCTGACACCTGACAGTATGTGTTGGTGGCATTATTGTTTTAATATTTCTTTATTATTTCTACTTAAGCGTTTCCATAGCTTGTATTTTAATCCAAAATGAGATCTCTGGAAAACATTGTCTATGAATGTCAATGTAATTCATAAAATTCTCTTCATTGTTCTATGTATTACTATAAATGTACAACAGGAAGTACAGTAGCATCAAAAAGGTAGCACTGACACTGAAATCAATAATGTTGTAAAATCGAATGCCTTTTGAATGTCATTCATGCTTTGATTACTTGATTTAACTCACTGTTGATTGTTTGAATGGCCCTGGCCAAAGGCTCTGATGAAAATACCATGGAAAAATAGTTAGATGTATCCCCTCTGGTTTGGGATCTGATTGCTGCCAGAACATGTTTGACTCTGTTATTCAGATTTTCTAATTTCATCTCAGATTGACCAAGTTCCAATAAACTGTACTGATATATAACTATATATGCAAACATTAGTGTGCACAGTTTTTGCATAAAAACCGTCAGGAAAAGGCAATGCAGAACCTGATGTGTTACATCCAACAGATAATACTGACATGCAGTCATATTATGCTGTGTGTGTGTGTGTGTATATATATATATACATATACACCCAAGTATTATTTCCTACCTCACATCTTTGAGGATGTATTTTTCAGGACCTCTCTTGCAGCAGAGCCTCTTCTCCTGAACACAGTAGTGCAGGTTGCTGAATGTAACAGTTGGCCCTCGCTCCTGGAAATACTCCTCAACACTGCAAACAATCTGCTCCCTCTTAGACATCTTCAAAAACAGCAGCGTTACCAGCAGAGAGAGAGAGTGGAAAAAAAATCAGTCAGAAATTGGGGTTCAAAGAGAGAGAGAAGTGCAGTCTGACAGAGACCTGTGCAGTCTGGCGGAGAGACATACAGGTGAAAGAGTATGTAATCATATGTTTCAGTTATAAACTCATCTGATCTTTGGACTCCCTCAGTCCTTAGCCCGTAGATTTGTGGCTGTTGACGTTGAACTTTCCCCCCAAAATCTCAACTGCAGCAGTGACTGCACCCAAGAAGCACCACAAGCTATGTGATAATAGAAGATGATAACAGATTAAGTTTTATCCATCTATCCATTATCAGTAGGCCTACCTATTTATCTGTATTCCGGGTCGTGAGGGAGCTGAAGCAAGGAACTTCTCCTCATGATGGATGGATTTTACTGCTACTATGACTTCTACTGCTACTTCCGGGATGTCTGTCCACCAGATTTTGGAACCTGGCTGCAGAGATTTGCTCAATAGCCACAAGAGATTTGGTAAAGCATTGTTTGGCGATAATACCTGGCTCACAGTCAGCACAACAAAGGTGTTGGATGGGGATGAGGTCAGGGTTCTCTGCAGGCCAGTCAAGTTCTTCCCCATCAAACTGGGAAAACAATTTCTTTATGGGTATGGTTTTTGCCATGTTTAAACAGGAAGTGGCCTTCACCAAATGATTGCCACAAAATTCAAAGCTCATGTGCTGTTGTATTTAGATTTTACGTAAGGTTTGAAAGCAGAAATAACACATAACAATCACAATAACACTCTTACAAATGAAAAGCTGAATTAATAACCAATAAAACTACCCTGGCTGAGTTATTTTTCTGTCACAGCTTTAATTGTTCTGGTATGACGAATAGCATATTGTGGCTAATGTTAACTGCTAACTTTAAATATGGCAGCATTACAGTGCCGACTGAATCTGTTGATAACTCCACAATAGATATATAGTTTTTTAACTTAAAGGTCTGCCCAAACAATAAAAAGCAGCCTAACACTTAAAGTACACAAAAAGTATGTAGTCGTTGAAGTAGCCCACATTTCCATGGTCAGACTGCCCCCTGTCGTACAGAATGCTGTACAGCTGGTAGGAGTTGTTTATCTCTGACCTTTTTCTCTTTTTGCCGTTGTCAAATCAGGCACAAAGAACCGCCTACATAGATCGCTGCAGCCAACCCCCTTTCAGTGTAGCTGGAAATGGGCGTGGTAAGATGAAGAAATTGTTAGATGTTGTCATCGCGTTCTTTAGTTTGGAGTGCTCTACACTGGGCGTGTGGGCGGAATTTATAATGTCCACAATGCGACTCTAACAGCAACTGTTTTTCCCCTTTTGTATAGACTGTTAGGGTTGTGTAACGGTAAAGTACCTCCGGCAAACCAATCGATCCCATATTTAAGACGAAGTCTACCTTATAAACTACCAGCTAACGCCAACCGTTAGCTATGGAGGAGAGGAAGGAGGAGGGAGAAGCGGAGATCCAAGAACACGGCCCCGAACACTGGTTCTCAAAATGGGAACGGCAGTGCTTAGCAGAGGCCGAACAGGATGTTCCGAACGAGGAGGAGACGGAACAAAGCCAACAGAAACTGTGGCACCTCTTTCAGAACTCAGCCACCGCGGTAGCACAGCTATACAAAGGTCTGTAAAATAAGCAGAACTTCAAGTTAAGCTAGCTAATGGAAGCTAATCCTGGTAGCTAAATGTATCGCTGGGTGGAGAGAGACACAAAGGACACCGGCTAGGCTAATAGTTAGCTATTCACAGCTGTTTCTACTAAACAAAACTAGCGGTGTTTGTTTCCATGGTTGTGTTGGGTGATACTTGAATGTGTATTATTTGAAATTATGATTAAAATCGATGATTCTGCAGTTCTCTTCTCGACATCCCGACGGAAGCTAACGTAAAGCCGCCTCTAGCGCTAGCAAACGCTAACAGCCGGTCACCATGTCAGAATGTGGGACAGTAGGGCGGAATCTGGTTCACAGTGTGGCCTGAGCTGTCAGAGGATCTCCAGGGCTAAACGGATCGATAGGTAGTCGAGCTAAGTGACTCCAAATACACCGGCCAACACAACGGCGTGTGTTGTCACTGTTTTTAACACATTTATTCCCCCTGTTTGGACACAATATGGCTCACACTAACATGTTTTTGTCCACACGTTAACAGTTACCAAGCTAGTCAAAATGGCGATAAATAGGGAGGAGTTTGCCGACTGAAAACAACTCGTTTGTTGACGGTCATTCGCGGTGGTAGTTAACTGTTAACAGTGGCGTGGTGGCTTTTTGTAAGTAACTTAATGGCACAAAGACGTTTTATTCCAACACACAATTCAAGAGACCTTTGCGGGTGCCTTGATAATATTTCTAACAAAATGGCGAAAAAGGATCAAAGTAAACATGTTCTTGTTGAAGTATCGGACCTTCCCTGCCCAGTTTTAAGCAATAAACTGAATTTGTGTTGCTTGGAAATAACTTTGGTTCCTGTCAGTCTGAAATGCGAAACCGCATTGAGCCCAGTTTAAAATGTTTGCTTTTAAAAGGTGACCTCATGGTTGGTTAGATTTGACCACTAAGTTATTTGCTCAGAATCAAATTAATTCATGATGGTCTTGTTGACCAACTGCCATACATTAGGGCTGCCCTATTTTGTAAGATTATTTTACAATTACTTGTCATGTGCAGTCAGTATTCCTGACTTAGTCTAGAAAAGCTGCTTGGTAAGATGTTTCTGCTTCCAAGCTCCCATCACTCAATGTTCAGACTGTAACACAGCTTCATAAAATGTAATACCAGTGAGGTATTTGTAGTGGAAACTTTATGGTCAGCCCCTGCAGATTAGATGTAAGGATTTGCAGTCAAGATTGAATTTGCGGAAGGATGATTGGTAGTAGAGTACTGCATTTGCTCTGAACAATTGTACTTGCATTTAGTGGTAAACCTAAATATCTGTGTTCTGTATCAGTAGTCTTCATGCAGACTGTTGCAATTATTTTTGATTAAAATAGTAGTAGAATTTGCACAGATTACTTGTCACATTTCACATCGTCATACTTTGATATTGTAAAGCTTATGAATAAATGGTTATAATGAAATCGTGGATGTTTTAAGGCAGCCATTGGATTCAATCTGAGTTTGAAATATGCCTGCTTATGAAAACCACCATCCCATCTTTGTTTTTTATTTGGGTATATGTGTAAGTGCAGTTGCCCATATTTGACTGACAGGGTATTGTGGGGTTTATGTGGCAACAGTGTCATTTGTAAGTTATCACAGTGTAACTAACTTTTTAAATTGAATTTACAGATAGAGTATGTCAGCAGCAAGGCCTCTCTCTCTGGGTGCCCTTCCAGAATGCAGCGACAGCTGTCACTAACCTGTATAAAGGCAAGTAAAAGTAATTTTGACTATTACCCATGTTGTTTCACTATCTCTTTCAGTTGCATTTTCTGTGGCATTGAGGAAGAACTTTATGTAAATAAGATTGGTGCGGATAAACTTTCATTGTGTTGTCCAGATTTACTAAAAACATTTGTCTTTGTGTGTTATCAGAAAGTATGGAGGCCCGCCAACGGAGCTATGACCTGGGCATCCACTTAGGCTACCAGCGCAGGAATAAGGATGTGATTGCATGGGTTAAGAAACGCAGAAGAACGATCAGGCGTGAAGACCTCATCAGCTTCCTGTGTGGCAAAGTTCCACCTCCACGAACGGCTCGCGCCCCGCCCAGAGTTGCCATGGTGTCTGCAAGCCGACCATCAGCCCCAGAGACAGGCAGCTCTGTGGAGACCGACCTGCAGCCTTTTAGAGAGGCCATAGCACTGCATGGTAGGTCAAAATGCCCAGTTCAGAAAGACACTGTTGAATTCTAAGAATTCGATGTCATTCGATATGGTTTGCTGTGAATTCACATTCTTTTTTTCTCTCCAGGTCTTAGCGGTGCCATGGCAAGCATTTCTGTGCGTTCTGGTCCTCCCGGTTCCCCAACTCACCCCGCCCAGTCCCTCAGTCGCCGTAGGAATGGTCTCCATGACATGGACCTCAACACCTTCATTGCTGAGGAGATGGCGCTCCATTTGGATTCCACAGCCAATCGTAAACGAGGCCCTGCCCCCTGTAGTGATGTCATCACAGACTCACCTACTCATAAACGGAACAGGATGCTCTGAACTTTTCCTACACCACTAATCCTCCTCTGTCCTCTTCTTGGTGGCCGACTGGACAGCTGATGAGGACTGATGCCTTGGCCAACCATTGAAATCTTCCTCTTTTCGTCTTAGTTGCAATGCTACAAATAAAGGAACTCAGCTATTACCAACCCAGATATTTCGCCCCGTCTTTATTTCTTATTTCACCCCCGAATGTTGTCTCACACCTTCACCATAGTAGTGTTCCATTCTTTTTCAGGATATTTTGTTCAATTGTTTGCCCTCAGTATATCTGATACCGAAGTGGACACACGTCACACATTAAATGTAGATGCTGAATGTTGCATTTGGACATTGTTTATATGGCCAGGCTCCTTTTTGCTTCACATCTGATAAAAAGATGAAACAGACTGTTGCTTACTGTTTGCAGTTCTCTTCCCCCTCATACCTCAAGCGTACTTCCTCCTCCTCCTCCACCACCTCCTTGGAGTGTTGGCCAAATCCGACTGGACTGAAACCCGCACTCCTCAGGAGGCCGAACCACCTCCCTACCATGTGGCCGAATCAAAGCGCTTGTCAGCGTGTGTATCTCATTCTGCTGCTGCTCTGTGTGTTTGCGTATCTGACAGCAGAACTGCCACTTACTGTGTTGTACTTGTCTTCGCCTTTTGAGAAAGCTGCTACAGTATCTCTGGTTGTGCAACAATGAGTGTGGGGGTGTGTGTGTGTGCGTGTGCGTGTGGATGCGGGGTTCAGGCAAATCCAGCACCCACTTGACTGAAACATTTCCTGTTTTACTTAAATTCATCCTATATTTTTCTTTAGTTGCCATTTGCAGCCCAAACCAGGATTTTATCACAAAGCAGGTCAGTTCAATTTACACAGATAATAGCGACTTTCATTAAGTGTCAGCTAACTGACCGAGTAGTGGAGTCACAAGATCTATTTTCAACAAAGATTTCTGTTTCCTTGTCCTGCATTCTTGCAATTTTTCTAATCACACTGTTAGACATAGGTATTGTCATGTTTACAAGTTATCCAAATTTACACTGTTTCCCTTTCACTGAGTACTGGTTCTTGCATTTTTGCATTAAGAGCAGTAACAGTGTTTCAAAGCTTGCATTTCACTTTCTGTTTGCATTTGGCTCATTAATAAAAACAAAGTTGCGAATTATCATTTTGTCTCTTGTACTTGAGAGAGAGTTACATTTTCACACTTGTGGGTTCAGCTTTAATTCTAGAAATATTACAGGTTGCATTTGCCTGTGATATTGCATTTTGTTTAGCCAACTCGTGGACTATTGGCATGGTGGTTCAGCAAGGCACAGGGCACTTGTTTTGCTAATATCACTGCTTTGTGATACAATCTTGTGTAATGTGTGTAAATAACATGTAGGTGCTGTTATATGTGGTACATCTTGTAAAAAGAAGTGCAAATCCGTTGGGATGTCCATGTACAAAAATAATTCTGACATTAAAGAAAATACAAGCGTTTATCTAAGTTGTCTGAGTTTTCTGCCAGTTGCAGTTTTATGTTTTACTGACTTTTACCTGCTGGACACATTTCTTTTTCAGTGCAGGATAATCTTTACTCTCAAAAGTGATGTTTCTAAGAATTACCAGGGGCCAATCTCAAGAAAGGAAGGATGAAGAGTGCAATGAAATGTAAAAAACAAATCCCTTGAGTTTCAGCTATTGTCTATTGCAGTGTCTGCCCTTTCTTTTTATTTAATTATTCTGTCATCACTTGACAAGGGCCTTGAATAGAGGATCTATTGAAAGGAGAATGTAGGATCTCATTTTGTAATTGTAACTGCTGTACAGCGGTGTTCTGTAAAGGCAGGTTGTCAAACTTTTTGCAACCATTGTGCACTTCAATTTTGCCAACACACGGGGGCGACACAGACTAATTTGTTCTGCTTTCTATTTTCCTTCACTGACAAAGATGAAATGTTGATAGATGGATAACAAAATATTGAACATGCTAACAAGTGCTGTGTTTGCGTTTTGTTTGGTAGAGCTCATTTTGTTGCCAACTGGATTCTTTTATTTGCTCAGTGATCTAATTTGTTAAGTTATCTCTATCTCGCTTGACTTCCAAAGGTGAAAGATGATTTCATTGAGGGGCTTGTTTTAAGGACAAATCAAAATTATGTAAAAATGAAATAAAATATCACAGGGTCAAATAGAACCACTTATGATAAATAAGGATAAGACACACACACACCATAATGACAAAATTATTCAAATTGTAGTATTTCAGCTGTCATTTGAGGTGACCCAGTGCATTAGTGTGCAGTTGTAGTCACAGATGAGCAATTAGAGGTAGTTATGTACTTCACCTAGGCAGTGGCATCTTTTAACACTAACAAATGTCATTATGACTGACATGGATATCGGACAGTTTTGGAAGCTTATGACCTCTGCCAAGAAGGCTGTTTTCAGTCCTGCTTGTTTGTCTGTTGGATATGTCAAATAGTACTTTGTAGTTGACAGAAGTTGACACCAAAACCATCTAAACAAGACTTGAAGCAAAATTGGTTTTCTTTTCCCACACCTATCTGCCCAAATAGGCCACAACCATTTCCACCTACACAGATATTTTCACACATTTGTTTTACCACTCTTACAAATGTCATCCAATTTTAAATGTTACACAATTTTAAACCTCAGTATTTTAATGGAACAACTGATGTGCACAGTAGAAGTGAAATTGAAAATTGGGCACATGAACTGAGCACAAGGCATAGAAATAAAAGCCAAAAATTGAGTTTCCCTTTTTATAAGCATAGGCTAAGTCTTTGCGGATATTTGGTTCTGTCATGTCTCTCCCTGATCTGACAGCTGGTTTGACCACAGTGCCCACACACACACACACACAGGCTCATGGAAACTAGCACTGCTGACTGTCTTCACTAAATCGCTGCCAAAGAGCCGCCACACTTAAAGACAGCCATGAAGGAGGCGCCACAGCCTCTGATGTGTTAGAGGAAAGTTGCCAGGTCAACAGTACTGTGTCAACTTTTTGGGCTTGCCCAAGTGAACGCCTGTCCATCAGCACAGAGGAGGATAAAGAACTGCACTGTCTAACCACCACATCCAGTAATCTGTTATTTCTTTCCTCTGCTAACACTGCACGGTTGTCTTTGTTTCATCATGTATCTGAAGGCTCTATTTGATGGAACCATGGAAGAGGAGCAGAGCTGACCGCAAGCTGTTCACTTCAAGAAGCTGTGTGTGTGTGTGTGTGTGTGTGTGTGTGTGTGTGTGTGTGTGTGTGTGTGTGTGTGTGTGTGTGTGTGTGTGTGTGTGTGTGTGTGTGTGTGTGTGAGTGTGATAGAGAGATATAGAGAGAGAGAGACATGACGAGAAGCAACAAGTGTCTGAATGTTCCAGAAAACCCCTCGAAGATGGCCATCTGGGATGCGCTGGTATCAGCTCTCTCTCTCACACACACGCACGCACATATATAGGTGTCTCCTAGGATGCCGTCTGGTCTGAGAGAGTTGGTGGTGTGTTTTGTAAACCATAAAAACACACACACACACACACACACACACACACACACACAGAAACGTCCGTCCCGTCATAGCAATTGTGTGTCTGTGTGGGCTTAAACATTAGGGACTCTTCAATGGCAGACAGCTGGCGATCAATGATGCACTAGTTATCCCTTGTGTGGATGTGCGCCGACATACACAGCATAAACACAATGGATAATGATAATTGCTGCACCAGGTTGCGCTAATTGATAGAGGACAGCATGCTTATACACACACACACACACACACACACACACACACACATGAACACATTAGCACATGCACATAAACAGAAGCCAATCAGGCAGACTGAGAATGTGTCCCCGGAGAGATTGAGCAGCCGGTGAGCAGGGAGATGAAGAGGTGGTGGAGGAGACACGGAAGGAGGAGAGGAGGAGGAAGAGAGGTTAAACACTCCCCGGAGACGGCTGCTAGTCAGGGCTCTTAGTTTTGGGCACATAGGCTACGGTAGGTGAGCAGTGCGTGTCATGCATGAAAACACAAGGTCTGAAAGATTGTCTCCTATTTTTGGGCCTGTTGTGTTTTTGTGAATGTTCCTCCAATTCAAAAGGAGCCCGCCTCCCCTCCCTCCTTTTCTCTCAGACATAAACATGCTTGCACGCACACACACCAGATCTTCAGAGCTCCCTGTGCACCAGCATGTCCCTGTCTTCCACAAATGCCATGAAAAAAAACCCCACGAGCTGATCACCATAGCAACACGTTATAAATCTTCCAGCAATATTTATACAACCCAGCAAGGAGGGGTTGTGGTGGTGGAGGGTGGATGAAGAGGGGAGGTAGAGGTGGTGGTGGTGGTGTGAGTGAGAGGGGGGTTCGTGATGCAACTCCTCTAAAAATCAAACGGTCATTATAGAAGAGGGGTTGCGGTTCAGGCAGATGGCCACAGGGCGGCAGCAGCGTCCAGCGCAGCAGGACAGATGAAGCATCACCAGATCGTCACTTCAAGACCCGTGGTTTTCAGTCATGTGCCACGCAGAGCCATATAATACTAGGACACGAGCCTGTTTCACTTTTTATTAGAGAATGTGCCGTGAGTGAAATTGGCCTTTGCGTTTTTGAACGTCTTCGTGACAAATGCTGGACTAGACAAGAAAGATTCAAAAAGTGGAAGGAGTCCCAGTGCGTCCTCAAAAGCAACACCTACCAGTGGTGATGCTGGGTATGCATTAAAGTACGGGGGAAATGGTTGAAGAAGAGAAGAGGAAATAAAATGAACGATGGGGCAGAAAGAGAGCAGAAATGATTGCAAGGTCCCCCCTCCTCCCCAAGCATAAGGATTAGATGTTGTGCTGCTGGCTGCAGATGGGTTTGGGCTTGATTCTGTATGAGTGTGCACAGTGTGTAATGTGTCAGTGTGTGTGTGGGTTTATTTTTTGGGCTCAGGAAACAGGTTAAGCAAGGAGGGGGGAGAGAGAGAGAGAAGAGAGAAGAAAAGGAGGGAGAGGGGAGTGAGGAGGAGGATGAGAGGAGGGAACAGGATGAAAGGATGTAGGTGAGTCTAGGAGGAAAGGAGGCCTAAATCCTCAGTGAGCTCTTGGGAGAGAGCAAGGAGAGACATGGAGAGACTAATGATGTGAGAAAGGGGAAAATGTAGAAAGACAGAGGAAAACAGGAAGAAACTGACAGAGAGTGTGTGAGCGAGAGACATATAGACAGGAAGGGGGGTGTAAAAAAGTGCAGCACAAGTCTCCTTGCTCACAGGTTTATATAGAAAAAACCAACAGGACCTGACAAGAGTCTGATAGGATCAGCTCCTCTACGTGTTCACTCACTCACACACGCCTACACACTTGCCCTCACACACACTCATAGTCCCACTTGCCCTCTCCTCAGCACCGCTCTGTTTTTTCCAATATTCTGTGCTTGAAGTGATATTTCGTTTTGGTACATTTTAAAATTTTCAGCAGGCTTTATCTGGTGTGACTTCATGAGCCATTAGCCTTCGACAGTGCACGACCTGTACAGTACCTCTGTGGGTCGATTCCTCAAATTCAGGCCCTCACTGGACTCTCTTCACTGCTAACTTGAAAAAGTGAGCCAGCAAAACAGAAAATGTTGTTTTCAGCCGAGTGGTTTTAATCATCACCTTGTTGTGCTCTTCTCTTGGAGGTCAAGGACATGGCGATGTCTTTTGATAATGGATTCATTGTTTTAAGTAATTAAGCAAGTAATTTAACAATCAAAAATGCAGTATTTTCTTTTTTTTTTTTTACAAACTTCTTTATGGTCCAAGTGGACTCATAGCTGAACATTAAGCCTTGTTTTTGTTGTTTAGCTTGTGATGTAGTGGGATTTTAATATCTTATGTGTTCTATGTTCTATATTTGCTGTTTAGTTGGTCAAATGTGAGGATTTGCTGCCTTTCTCTGTTTTGTATTGTCTTTTAATTATTTATGACAGGGGGCATTTTGCCTTCATGGGATAGCCAACAGTAGAGAGAGATGAGAAAAGATGTGGGAGGAGATGGGGAACTGTATAAGTTGTGGTTAATGGCTGGTGCCCCAGCCCCTGGACATGTCATTTTATGTCACAGTAAATTTAATATCTTTGTGGGTTTTGAGTGTTTGTGAAACAAGACATGCCATTTCAAGACATCGTGATGAGCAGTTTTCTGTTTTACATTTTATATTACATTAAGTAATATTTAGAGCTGAGGTGCAAAGAGTGGCCACTCATAGTGGCAAAACTGCAAAGAATGTCAGCTCTGCAATTCTCAGCTCTACAAAGCTTTTTAAGACTCTTTCAGCGCATTGTGTTGGTTTTACAGCTTGTACTGTTTACTTAGTCTCACCGCTCTCAACCTCATTTCCAGCAGCAATGGGCAGCATTTTATTTATTTTTTTTAGCAAAAACTGAAAAAACTAACAAACCCACTGTACACTACAAGCACAGCACCAAACGGCAATCAGACAAAATTAGAGACTAACT